TAGCCAGGGAACGCCTTGGTATTCCCCCGGAGGAGCTGGCCCAAGTAGCTGCGGAGAGGGAAGTCTGAGCCTCCCTGCTTAGGCTACTGCCCCGTGACCCAACCTCAGATAAGCGACTGAAAATGGATGGATGGATGGATGGATCCATATGTCCAAATACATTTTAAAATATACAGGCTTTCATGGGGTGTCTTAATTTTCTTACATTGCTGTGAACAGCAAACAGCAGCCTACTTGTTTCCGAGGGATGGGTCAAATGCAGGCAAAGGATCATTAAAGTTTCTGTTATTTTTTATAATAATATTATTAGTATTATCATTATTGGCCAAAATGTAGGGTTTTCATTTTTGTAATTGGCCAAAGACACCCTGCAGCATAAAATATGGGGAAAGAGAGACAAGGTCTATAACATGCTAAAAATCTGCTTTATCTTCAGTTTTCAGTATCGATATACTGGTAAAAGGTGGCTTACAGGTCAGCAGGGAAGAGTGAGAAGCAGCAGCTCCTACAAGCATCGACACATTTACTCGCTCTAGAAGACCTGCATGTTTTTTCACCCTCTGATCTTTCTGATGATTTACTTGAGGGCTTAACTGAAACTCTCCACTACAAATTCATAAATCATTAAACAGATAAACCTCCCCCGAAGCATTTCACACCCACTTGTGTGAAAATGAAGATATGCAGAGGCTGAAAGTATTTTTGTTTATATTTAAATATTTTGAGTAAAAATACATTTTTGGTTCTTGTTTATTATTTTAGACTACAAGGTGTCATACTTAGTCTGCTCCGCAGTGGAATAATTTTCTGAAGCAGGAGCATCTTTTGTCCTGGCATTCCTCTTGGCCGAGGTTTGGGTTACCTACGATAGGTGTTGAAGGAGACTTTTGTGTGCCATCTTGCAAAGCTGTAGGCTTCTGATTTCACTGTAACCTTGGCCACAGGCTACTCTGTCGACTTTGTTGTGAGGAACCTTTGATATCTGGAGGAAGAGAAGGGACACGCCCGGTCCTACACAAAGCTTGCTGCACATACCACACAGAGTATCCTCTGTCTGTTAATGACTCCCCCGCTTCCCCTTCACTCAGTCTAATGCCATCGTCCTGTCTCCTGTCAGCATTTAGCATTAGGGTGCTTTGTGTTTTGTAAGTTTGATTTTTTTTATACAATTTGTGCAAAATCTTTGTCATCTTTCAGAATCATTTATCCTTTGCAATGAAATTCTCTACCAGACTAGCTCGAATTTTTCAGATATAAGGGCAGGTTTCACAGTCGGAGCTGTGCAGCGAATAAGGTTGGATTGTTGATCCTCGCAGAGCTCAGAGACCTCCGGAGGAGAGAAACAAGGCCTCTCACTGTCAAAGGGGCCGATCCTAGACCAAAGATCTGGGACTTCTGCCAGACACACAGACTCTGCTTCAGTGTGTTAGTTTTGTTTACAAATGTTAACAGTCTTCTCAAGTTCAACTCATATTCTTTTGAAAAGATGCTGTTAAAACAGACCGGTGTGTCTTCAAGAAATTGAATGTTGAGATATATTTTATTAAAAAGATACTGTTGCTGGTCCAGATTGTTGTGACAAAATAAACCAGTTCTGGACCTTCCACAAAAAGAAGACGTACACTTGCACTCAAACATAGTCAGTTCAAAGCATTAAATAACGGTTTATAGCCAGAGGTAGAGGAAAAACAAACATTTTAACATGCAACAAGAGTCAGCATCTCTTTATTGTTATTCCAAGGTGTTGGGACTAACAATCTGCTTTTATGTGCGAGGCTACTGTAAAAACATTTAAATACCTTGGGACCACAGAATAACATGCAGATTTTAGATTTATTAAACTGACACAACATTGTTCCTAATCACTTCATATTTAAGGCTTCGCTCCTCCCATTAACAGCTTTGTCATGTCAATCAATCCTTTTCTGCTTTTTACGCGTTTCCAAATGTCAGAGGACTCATTTCCTGCCAGCTGCACCCATCCCAGACGTCCAGCTCTTGACCGGTGTGTTGAAACAGAAGAATATGGTTTCCCCCCAGTGAATGAGCAGCTTTGTGTGGAGCTGAAGATAATAGCATAGCTTAACAAAATAAACTCCTGACTGTAGAGCAGAGGGTCCCAACCCCACTTTAACACTGAAGTTTTGTTTTCCTCACACTCTTCTTGTTTGTAAAGGAATGTAAGAAAAAATAATTCACCCATTATTAAGAAAATAAAGCAAACACAGGACCTCTTAAAGACATAAAAAGATTCAGTTTATGTGATTGTGTTTGTTTATTCCCAAGTGGTACAGCCTGGTTAATGTCCTCCAGATCTATGGCGTTTAAAGCGTGCCACAACCCGTGCACGCGCATTGGGTCCACAGCGCACGTGTGAACATGACTCGCGAGCGCAAATATACATGGCAGCGCGCGTGTGAACGGGACTCGCGCGCGTGTGAACGGGACTCGCGAGCGAAAATATACATGGCGAGAGGTCATTTGTGCACTGAGAAGGAGCAAACTGTGTCTGTGAGCGCACAAGGATGTGCACAAGTGACAAACCTGCGTGCGCGCGTTGTCAACGAGCACACGGCAGAGGAAAACGTGCGCGCGCGGCAGCCTCTGTGCGCGCTCGGCAGCCTCTCTGCCTGCTCGGTTTCTGACTCCTGCTCGCTCGGCTGTAAGGGCTTTTGGCACTCTGGAGGCGTGGCCTGTGGCAGATCTTGTCTGTCCTCTGATTGGTTAGTTCACCCCGCACTTTACCCTCTATCTATATAACAAAGTCTGATGTTCAGTAGTTGCTGGCATAGCTCAGCTGGGAGAGCGGGTGACTCTCGCCCCGGAGGATCCAGGTTCGAGTCCGGGCAAGGAAAATGCAGTAGATGTCATGCTAATTTTTCTTAATTTCAGGTATTTTACAGTTGTGACCGTTCAACTGTCATTAAACGTCCGAATGTTTGCTGGGCAGTGTTTTAAAAAGTGCACATAAGCTAGATGGTTTTAACCATATAAAATTACACTTTTTGTGATACTGGAAAAATACATACTGAAATAAAACTACTGATTGAAAACTTTATGACTGTGGTTGTACAATATATGACTCACTAATACACTGCAAACTCCCTTAGAGTGGGGCTTCCAGAGAGAGAGAGAGAGAGAGAGAGAGAGAAGAGAGAGAGAGAGAGAGAGAGAGAGAGAGAGAGAGAGAGAGAGAGAGAGAGAGAGAGAGAGAGAGAGAGAAGTTCTTGCCTCATTAATGAATTGTTTATTTTTTTCAGTATTTAATTGACAAATTATCCTTTCAAAAAATTAATTGATGAGTTACATAATTGTCCATTTAGAATTGTTGAATGGACTGAGTCAAGTTTGGTGCACTTTATATATTTCAAAACATGTTTTTTTTTATTTTAATGATGCATATAAATAATTTAAATGTTAATTTAATGAAATATTTCTATTTTTTCATTACCTCACCCTTGTTTTGACAAAAACGGGACCTTGCTGGATAATATCATGGAGAAACTATTTGTTCACAGTACATGGCTCAGTGAGGATCTGTGTAAAGGAGGAGATACTCAGAAATCTGTCTGCAGATTGTTACAACCCAGACTGGAAGTGGTGGGCTGTAATAAGAAAGGAGACCAAACAGAGGAGTGGGGGTTCAACAACTGATTTATTTAACAAAAGTAAGGATTTACTAAAGCAAGTTAGTGAACAGAAAATGGCCATCTCAAGGTTTTACTCGGATGTCCCTCAGCAGGGTGCAGCACTGTTGAAGGTCATCTGAATGAAAGCTTGATATGCAGTTTCTTTATGAAATGGACAATTATGTAACTCATCAATTAATTATTTTAAAGGATAATTTGTCAATTAAATACTGAAAAAAATAAACAATTCATTAATGAGGCAAGAACTTTTCTCTCTCTGTCTCTCTCTCTGGAAGCCCCACTCTAAGGGAGTTTGCAGTGTATTAGTGAGTCATATATTGTACAACCACAGTCATAAAGTTTTCAATCAGTAGTTTTATTTCAGTATGTATTTTTCCAGTATCACAAAAAATGTAATTGTATATGGTTAAAACCATCTAGCTTATGTGCACTTTTTAAAACACTGCCCAGCAAACATTCGGACGTTTAATGACAGTTGAACGGTCACAACTGTAAAATACCTGAAATTAAGAAAAATTAGCATGACATCTACTGCATTTTCCTTGCCCGGACTCGAACCTGGAACATCCGGGGCGAGAGTCACCCGCTCTCCCAGCTGAGCTATGCCAGCAACTACTGAACATCAGACTTTGTTATATAGATAGAGGGTAAAGTGCGGGGTGAACTAACCAATCAGAGGACAGACAAGATCTGCCACAGGCCACGCCTCCAGAGTGCCAAAAGCCCTTACAGCCGAGCGAGCAGGAGTCAGAAACCGAGCGCGCAGAGAGGCTGCCGAGCGCGCACAGAGGCTGCCGCGCGCGCACGTTTTCCTCTGCCGTGTGCTCGTTGACAACGCGCGCACGCAGGTTTGTCACTTGTGCACATCCTTGTGCGCTCACAGACACAGTTTGCTCCCTCTCTGTGCACAAATGACCTCTCGCCATGTATATTTTCGCTCGCGAGTCCCGTTCACACGCGCGCGAGTCCCGTTCACACGCGCGCTGTGGACCCAATGCGCGTGCACGGGTTGTGACACGGGTATGACGCGATACAGATCCCTCAGCCGGGGGGCGTGACCAGCGCCGGAGTCGGTGGAAACACTGGATTCCTCAGTGAGGATATTTGTGATGATGAAATCCTCTGCTAGAAATTTTAATCTAAATTTTATGGAACCTTTTATATCATTTGGTTTGTGCAAAACACTAAAATCTTCTTTTGGGTTTCTAATATCTTAACCTTGTGCTACATTAACAGAACACATGTTTTGTTCTTATGAAACTCAAGCAGGGCTTGCAGACACAACATTGTCATTATGTTACGTTGGAATTTAATTTAATATGTTTTTATTGCTGATTTATTCAACTCTAGCCTTTTATGCCCTTGGCAAACCTGCGCTGTTCTCCAGACGTCCACCACTTCCTGTGCCAAGCCTTTATCCCAGCATGCAGCCAGGAGAACAGAGTGATGCGCCCCTGCAGGGAGAAGTGTGAGGCTGTTCTGTCTGACTGCAAGGAAAACATCCGTGTTTTTGGTGTCACCTGGCCTCCTGAGCTGCAATGTGACAAGTAATAAAACTTCAGTCTGTTAGCGCTTTACCTGGAATTTCTAAACAATCCATAATCCCGTTACCGTTTTTATCCTCCAGATTGGACTCATGTGGGTCAGATGGCTCCATGCTTCCTTCCACTACCCCACTGACCTCCTCATCACCTAAGAGAGACCTTGGTTTCTGGTGCCCGCTGCAGCTAAAGACCAAGCCGGGCCTCAGCTCATCATTTCTGGGAGCCCAGGACTGCGCCCCCCCCTGCTCCAACATGTACTTCAAACCCCATGACGTTGAATTTGCCAAGAGCTTCATCGGCGTGTGTTCCATCATCTGCCTGGGTGCCACGCTTTTTACTTTTCTCACGTTCCTCATTGATGTCAAGCGTTTTCGATACCCAGAGCGCCCTATAATCTTCTACGCCGTCTGCTACAGCTTCGTCTCACTCATATACTTCATCGGTTTCCTGCTGGGGAACCACGCCGCCTGTACCAAAGCTTCTCATCCCGCAGGCATGGACACCGTGGTGCTGGGTTCTCACAGCAAAGGTTGCACTCTGCTTTTTATGCTCTTGTACTTCTTCTCCATTGCGGGTTTGGTCTGGTGGGTCATCCTCACTATCACCTGGTTTCTGGCAGCTGGACCCAAGTGGAGCTGTGAGGCCATTGAGAAGAAAGCAGTAAGCTTCTGAGTAGAAAACGGTAGAGTAAAAATGATCTGGAAGAGAGCGGCTAATGATGTGTTTCTGCTCTGTCTTCAGGTGTGGTTCCACACAGCCGCCTGGGGAATCCCCGGGGCATTAACCGTCATGCTGCTGGCTCTGAACAAGGTTGAAGGGGACAACATCAGCGGGGTTTGCTTTGTGGGGCTCTATGACCTGGATGCGCTGCGGTACTTTCTTCTGGCTCCACTGTGTGTGGGTGTCGTTGTGGGCCTCTTCCTCATCCTGGCGGGCATCATTTCTCTCAACCACGTCCGGCAGGTGATCCAGCATGACGAACGCAATCAAGAGAAGCTAAAGAAGTTCATGATTCGCATCGGTGTGTTCAGCTGCCTCTATCTGGTTCCACTGGTCACTCTCATAGCCTGCTACACCTATGAACATAGTCATCGCAGCACCTGGGAGAACACGTGGATCAACGACCGCTGTCAGGAGTACAGCATCCCCTGCTCATACAAGGTAGTTGTGATTTATACTGCAGTTTGTACTCTATGTTAAATACTTAGAAATATGATTTTAAGACATGTAACACAGAGTTGGTTAAAGGATTTTAAATATTAAACTTACAACAAACTAGAAGCTCACGAGAACAGAATCATGAAAAAGGAAGAGCAGAGAAGTCCATGGTGTCCTCCTTACGTTACTAAACAAAGGCGGCCGTGAGCGGTGTTGCTTTTGAAGACTCTGACTCTGATAGGAAGGTCATTGCTTCCTGCTTTCTCTCCCAGTGAAGCTTGGTTTATGCTTGACGCATTTACTTTCCGCTTGGTGATGCGGCTCGCGGATGGAACGCGCTTCACAACTTGCAGCGTTTATGGTTCATGCGGCTTGTCTCTGCGGTGAGCCAATATTCTCCCAAACTGTAGGGGGCAGCATGGAGCTCTACGGCATGCATCCAACACTAAACCGTAGTAGGAGTAAAAATTACTGTTGTTTACAACATGGCATTCCAGCAGTTGTTAACAGCGTCCTCGTCTTTTCCGACAGTGCGAGCTATTTCTCTCCAAGAATTATTAACAACATGTTGATCACGGTGATCTTTGAGAGCTGAATCATACAAATGTCTGTATTGACGAACCTCTGCCATAGCTAGCTCTTGCCAGTCCGCCATGTTTTTTGTGTTCGACCGTCCGCGTGGTTAGAAAATTTCCTAGGTGCGCGGTGCGGAAAGTTTGGGCCGTGCGGAGGCCAGGTGGAGGGGCGTGGTTGTTAAAATGACGCACGTTTGCCGCACGGAGCCGTGCGAACCTCGCGGGCGCATCAAGCGTAAACCAACCTTTAGAGTGCTGTGTGTGTTCCTCACAGCAGTCTGTCCTCGCACTGACGCAGCTGGAGAGGCAACTCCGAGCTGCAGTTAGAGGTGATGCTTATTCCCCAGCATCCAGAGTGATAATGAATAGTGCGTGTGGGATACCCCCGTTGGCTGACTCTACCCTCCAATCGGAGGATCTTCCTAAAGGTAGGCGTGAATTTCTGCCAGCCAATCGGTCAGCAGTGGGTGTGTTGGTTCAGCCTGAAGCGAACCACTGGGGGAGGTCTGAAAAAACACTTTTTTTGGAGTTGAGTTTGGAGTTTAACACAAACGCAGATAGTATCCAAGTCCAGTAAATCCTAATATTTGCATTAGACACACTTTTTTTCTGGTATGAAAAACAGGAACTGTTGTGAGTAGAGATGTAAGAAAATATCGATGTGGCAATATATTGTGATATTTTTTCCTGCGATATATCGATATTCAAAAGCCGTGTATTGAATTTTTGGAAGAATTTACATGCAAACATTTGTGTATTTTTTTTGTTTGATGCAGTTTAAATGCCGACCACTAGTTGGCAGCAGTGTGCAATGGGTGCTGTTTCCACCACTGAAATGTAAATCCCTCTATTATGGTTCAGATACCTTATGTTAAACATGTTATGTATCACTTTGGACTGTTTATTAAAATTTCCTACAATAATTTCAGGCAAAAAAAATGCAAATATCATCTGGCTAAATGTATCGCAATATATCCCCTGTATCGTATCACCAGAATTTCACTAATATATCCCTAATCGTGAGTTATTAGTGAGGCATAGATCCACACTCATCTAGACATCTAGTTGATTTAGTGGTCAGGAGACAATGGAGCGCATCCCGACTAGTAGAAGCTAACCGTTAGCATTAGCAACTCCTTCAGGCTTGTGTTATTTGTTGAGATAAAACATCAGTGTTTTTTCCCAAGAACGTAAAGTGGACAAAGGCAGTGGAAGAGTTGTGTTGCTTTTAAGCCAATCAGATGCGAGGTGTTTACATATTAGGGCTGCAACAAACGATTATTTGGATAATCGATTAATCGGATGGGTTCTCGACACGATTAATCGATTAATCGGATTACATGGGGAAATTTTTAAAAACTGCTTGGGAAACATTATTTCTCTCCTTTCTTCACTTTATTTAACACAACATTATTAGAAAACAGTTCAATAGCAGAAAAACAACATGCCATCACCTAAATTGTCTTATAAGGTGTATAGACAGAGACCCTAAGCTACATCTATCTGTGACCTAAAATGCTTGGTCCAAGTTAAACAGCTTAAGGGCAATTCTCATCTGTTTTGTTTGATCTCATCTGTAGACATTTATTAAAACTGGGGATGTCAAACAACTAATTTGTAAATGTAATTAAACATAGGCTGTGAATTAATCAAAATTGATCACTATTTCCAAAAATGACTGAAAAAATAAGTTGTCACACACTCCATGGAAACTTTCAGAGATTCCACAAATAGTGGCTTTCAAATGGTTTTGTTACTTTCTGCAAGTTTAGAAAAGAAGCAGATGAGACAGCATGTCTGATAATTTAGTTTTTTATCTGATAATATTAGAACATGTCAGTAATGTCTGAGGGGCTTTTATAAACACTGTATAACTAACACTACTGGAGAGGGTATGAATTACACAGAGGCTTCTGGGGAGCCCAGTTATGGGGGGGGGGGGCATTTTGCCTTGGCCCCCAAAATGTCTTGAAACGGCCCTGGGTGTGTGACTGAGTGTTGAAGGTGACCTGAATAGTATCAAATTTATAAATATTACATGTGTGTAACTTATTGTTTTATACAGGTAAAAACGTGCAGTGGAGATAAATCTACCTACATTTTACTTTTCAACACTTTGTTTTGTTTTGTTGTTTTTATTGAACTATTTCCTGTCCTGTCTGTCTCTCATCTTCCTGCATCTCCTCTTAATTGTCCAGAAAATCTGCTGCCTGGATTCTTTCTTTTTCACCTCATCAGTTACTTTTGAGCAGATCAAAGGGATCTCCTGACCACAAAGCGCAGAGCGCGTTTTCGATGCGTCAGTGAGGTGAAATCACCGCAGCACAGGTGATGAGCTCCGCAGTAGCGCGCTTCAGGCACAAATAAGACAGAAAATAGAGAACATGTGCAGACATGAACGATCATGTGCTAATTATAGTTTTTTGGTTGCGCCACTTTGAGAATGGACCGTGCGCTGGAAGCAGCTGCCTGGATCGCTGCGCAACAACGCGCTGTGCCGCTCTCTGCTCAAAAGAGTCCAAAAATGATATAAATGATATAATATAGAAAACTTTTTTCCGGCTCCCCTGATGTGTAGCATATACAGCCACCCCATAATTCGATCCCTGCTCCTGGATGAAAAGCCGGACATTTTCATCAATACAAGAACCCGCAGTCCGGACGCCCGGACAGAGAGTGAAAAGTGGACAAGTCCGGGGAAAACGGAACGTACGGTCACCGTAGTCCTCATAAAGCGGGAAATTATAGATACAGTATTTTGCTCGTGCCCTGGGCCCTTTAGAGTTCGTGGGCCCTGGGCAATTGCCCAGTTAATCCGGCCTTGGGCGGAACCGGTTCGCAGCAGCGCCAGTCCCCCCGCTCATCTAATAAGCGTCGCGCTCACGACTTTAGACTTTTTTTACGAGCTTAGGGCATGTCTAGCCTGTGTAATAATCCGGGACTTGGATGAATTACTTTTGAAAAGTTTTTAATGTACCCGGACACAGAGTTCTCTCCTTCCTCGCTGATGATCCCGACATGCTTGCGTTTAAGACGCTGCATCATCCTGTGCCATGCTAAGTCTGACCTAAACGTTGCAGGTAGCATGTCTTCGCCTGATTTAACTGAAAATGCTCCCAAACTTAAAAAGCTTTTACTTTTTTGACTCTCGCTGCTTCTGCCATGTTCCTCTTCCAAACAACTGCCGGCTCTCCCTCGCGCTGATCTGCCGGCTCTCCCTCGCGCTGATCTGTCTGCGCGCAACGGCGGGCGGGAAGGGGGGGCGCTTTTGGAAGAGTTGTGCGACACAACGAATCGATGACGCAATTCGTTGCCAACGCTTTTAGTAATCGATTTTCATCGAATTTATCGATTCGTTGTTGCAGCCCTATTACATATCATGAATATTAATGAGTAAGACTCATAATCCACCCCCCACCCCCTCAGCTACCTTCTACTTCCTGAAACTGGAGTGCCAGAGCTTTTTTACACAGAAAACAGCTCACAGGGCCTTCATTCATACTAGAGATCACAGCAAATTTATTGGAAAAAAAAGTGTGAATGAGAGCTTTAACACGCACGAAAACTGTACATAATGTTTGGGCTGTTGAACACTGACTTGTAAAACTAACTTGTTGAGTTTCTGTTGACACACATGTTTGAAATCCCATCGATCGTATTTATCTGTTCCAGACTTCCCAGCTCGACCGGCCTGACCTCTCGTTATTTCTCGTAAAATACTTGATGACCCTGGTGGTTGGAATCTCAGCAGTGTTCTGGGTCAGCAGCAAAAAGACGTGTTCTGAGTGGGCGTACTTCTTCAACCGGACCCGCAAAAGAGAGTAAGACTACAATTACCATCTTTTTTTACTGGAGCGTCAACACAGCTCAGGTAGGTTTTAACTGTCCTGTTCCGTGACCCGTAGTCCCATCAGTGAGAGCCGCCGGGTCCTCCAGGAATCCTGTGAGTTCTTCCTCAAACACAACAGCCGCGTCCAGCACAAGAAGAAGCACTACAAGTCGAGCTCTCATAAGCTCAGAGTCATCTCCAAGTCTATGGGCACAAGCACCGGTGGTGCTCCTACCAGTCCCAGCGTCATCACCAGTCAGGGAATGTCTGCACTGGGCAAAACGCAGGCATCGCTGTTGGATACCTCAGCCAGGGAGACGCTAGACCGAGGCGCCTCCAGCAGGAGCTCCAGGAGGGGCGAGAGGGAGGGAGGGGAGAGACGCAGCAAAGGTGGGAGCTCCAGCAAGGTCAGCAGCCGCTCTGAGAGCATGAGCAGGGTTGCGGATGGAAGGTAAGGAAGGTTTTTAATTTAGTGATTTTCAGGGTTTCAGAAAAGCTCAAGCAAGTTTATAATCCGACTTTTAACTCTAAAAGTCTGATCAGATCTGGTCATTTGGGAAATATTTGGACTTTGAGATGTAATTTTTTTATAGTATAAGTTATTTTTGTGAGCCATTTCAATAATCACGCGCATGCACACTAGTGGTGTGCATCTCTACCTGCCTCATGATTCGATCTGATTCCGATTATTTGCCTAACGATTCGATTTGAGTCTGAAATGCATCACGATTCTTCATACAAAATTTTTCATTAATAAAAGCAGTAGAATAGTTTTCAATTTCTTTTTGATTTCGAAATCCCTGAAAAACAGAACATTCATCTATTCACTATAGTGAGCAATAATTTTTATAGTGTGCTGCCTATAATTACTTAAATAATATAAGAAATAATGTTTTTGGTAGAGCAGCTTTAAGATAGAATATTACTGAACTTAAAAATAGTAAACAAATACTGTGTTAAGTGATTCTTTCACATCCAGGATCCCAAAACCGAAATTAGCCCAGACATCCGATTTAAATGTAACGGGTACATCTTTGATTACTGGTAATGTTGGCCCTGTATCCCTGTCCGCCTTTTCTGTTCCAAATTGGTGCTAGGGCAACGCAGTGCGCATGTCATTGCAACTCTGCCCCCAGAAGTAATTATAAAACCTCAAAACTTTATTGTCCTTCATAGACATAGACCAGGGGTCGGCAACCTGTTCCCATCAAAGAGCCATTATTACCCGTTTCCCACAGTAAAGAAAACACTGGGAGTCAAAGTTATCTTTCATAAGACGATAATCAATAAAACGATTTATATAAAATGGATCCAGAAGTTGTAGCTCGACTCTGCCGACAATATTTTGATATTTTTCACCCTGTTGGTGGTTTTACTGAGCAGGTGCCACTTTTGTCATACGTTTCTTTTTAAAACATGTTTAGACTGTTCAGAATACAAATCCAGGCTCTGTCACGTTTGATTGTTGTAATTAAACTTTGTAGGTGGGGAAGGTCAGAAAAGGATCCGATCATTTTGTTTTTCCCTCATTTACAGTGACGGAGATAACGGCGCAGTGCGCCTGGCTCTGGTGTTAATCAAGTTAAATTTGATCTCTTTGCAACAATTTTCACAAGAAAACAGAACAGTAAAAAGCAGGGCTTGTGTTGTGTTGACCGGACAGTTCCCATATTTGACCGTTTATTTTGACGGAGAAAGAATAGAAAGTACAGGTGCTGGCCAGTAAATTAGAATATCATCAAAAGGTTGAAAATATTTCAGTAATTCCATTCAAAACGTGAAACTTGTACATTATATTCATGCAATGCACACAGACCAATGTATTTCCAATGTTCATTACATTTAAATTTGATATTCATAAGTGACAACTAATGAAAACTCCAAATTTGGTATCCCAAAAAATTCGAATATTCTGAAAAGGCTGAATATAGAAGACACCTGCTGCCACTCTAATCATCTGATTTACTCAAAACACCTGCAAAGGCCTTTAAAAGGTCCCTCAGTCTTGTTTTGAAGGCACCACAATCATGGGGAAGACTTCTGACTTAACAGCTGTCCAAAAGACAATCATTGACACCTTGCACAAGGAGGGCAAGACACAAAAGGTGATTGCTAAAGAAGCTGGCTGTTCGCAGAGCTCTGTGTCCAAGCACATTAACAGACAGGCGAAGGGACGGAAAAAATGTGGTAGAAAAAAGTGTACAAGCTCTAGGGATAACCGCACCCTGCAGAGAATTGTGATGACAAACCCATTCAAAAATGTGGGGGAGATCCACAAAGAGTGGACTGCAGCTGGAGTCAGCGCTTCAAGAACCACCACGAGGAGACTCATGAAAGACATGGGATTCAGGTGTCGCATTCCGTGTGTCAAGCCACTCTTGAACAAGAAACAGCGCAAGAAGCGTCTCGCCTGGGCCAAGGACAAAAAGGACTGGACTGATGCTGAGTGGTCCAAAGTTATGTTTTCTGATGAAAGCAAGTTCTGCATTTCCTTTGGAAATCAAGGACCCAGAGTCTGGAGGAAGAGCGGAGAAGCACAGAATCCACGTTGCATGAGGTCCAGTGTAAAGTTTCCACCGTCAGTGATGGTGTGGGGTGCCATGTCATCTGCCGGTGTTGGCCCACTCTGTTTCCTGAGGTCCAGGGTCAATGCAGCCGTCTACCAGGAAGTTTTAGAGCACTTCATGCTTCCTGCTGCTGACCAACTTTATGGGGATGCAGACTTCACCTTTCAACAGGACTTGGCACCTGCACACAGTGCCAAAACCACCAGCACCTGGTTCAAGGACCATGGTATCCCTGTCCTTGATTGGCCAGCAAACTCGCCTGACCTTAACCCCATAGAAAATCTATGGGGTATTGTGAAGCGGAGGATGCAATACGCTAGACCCAACAATGCAGAGGAGCTGAAGACGACTATCAGAGCAACCTGGGCTCTCATAACACCTGAGCAGTGCCACAGACTGAACGAGTCCATGCCACGCCGCATTACTGCAGTTATTGAGGCAAAAGGAGCCCCGACTAAGTATTGAGTGCTATACATGCACATTCTTTTCATGTTCATTCTTTTCAGTTGGCCAACATTAGAGAAACAAACATTTTTTCATTGGCCTTTAGAATATTCTAATTTTCTGAGATACCAGATTTGATGTTTTCATTGGTTGTCACCTATAAATATCAAAATTAAACGTAATAAACATCGGAAATACATTGGTCTGTGTGCATTGCATGAATATAATGTACAAGTTTCACGTTTTGAATGGAATTACTGAAATATTTTCAACCTTTTGATGATATTCTAATTTACTGGCCAGCACCTGTATTAGCATGCAGACGAACTGACACTTTATTCGTTTCGCGCAGATGTAGCTAAATCACTCAAGAAATGATTCCCATCTGAGCTGGACACTGAGCTCAGCGCAGCTCGCTGTCAGCGCGTACGTACGTACGGCGCACAGCGAGCTGAAGATGTGGAGAGGGGCTTGGAGCACGTCGCAGAACCAGAGCGCGTGCGGGAAGATTCCTCTGACTGAAGCACTGAAGTTTTAGTGTCCTTGTCACTTAGAAAATGTTACCTGATGATGAAACTTTGGCTGAATAGCGCTTATTCCTGTCTCCAACGTGGCGTCTGAGGAGAATCCCAGAATCTCACATCCTCTTCAGCTCAGAAAGCGCAGATATGATTACGCACAAGCGTGACGCGTCAACCCGGTCTCACAGTAAGACCAGGTTGGACCTGTTCAGGTTTACGCAGACAATCTTTACATTTAGAATTAGCTTACAGATGTAAAATTAATGCAGTAAAATATAAAGCATTTTATTTAAAGAGCAAGTCACCCCCAAATCACATTTTTTTTGCTGATAAACTATATAAAGGAGTGTCTAATCATGCTACAGACACGTGTAGTCAATAATTTGGCAGTTCAGTGCATCTTGGTTAAAATTCAAATATTCTGCCTAAAATTGTCAGTGTTGCGCCGTCGTCAGGGAAAAATTCTGCACTGTATTTGAATTTAAATCTGCCACCGCTATTGGCTAAGAGGTATGCTATGATGTCATCTGGTACATTATGATGTCAAAATGCCATTGTGAGCCTGTGTGTGTGTATTTGTTAGCGGCTCCGCCCTCTTGGTCTGCCAAGCAACAGCATTTGTTGCATTTTTCAAACATGAAGTGGAAGTGAAGTAAGTTTCTTGTAGGGGGTGACTTGCTCTTTAAATATCCATTCATTATTTTACAAGCACAGAGAGCCGCATCAGATGGATGGAAGAGCCGCATGCGGCTCCAGAGCCGCGGTTGCCGACCCCCGACATAGACATAGGGAGAGAATCTCATTATGTCACATTGCTGCATCGATGCGGAATCATGCACGGCTGAATCGCGATGCATCTTAGAATCGATCATTTTTCCCACCTCTAGTTTGTGTCCTTTGTAGGCAGGAGTGAGTAATGTCAGGAAGACGGTGCAAATTCAAAACTGAGTGGAGAGAAAAACCCAGTTCAGGAACTGGCTAGGAGAAGTATCTGGAGATGTGCATAGGGCATGTTGCAAACTGTGTAGAACGTCTTTTGATATCAGTAACATGGGCGTCTCAGCACTCAGGAGTCATGCACGGGGACAAGGCCATGTCAAGACTTCTGGACAGTTAAGCAGTGAGAGAAGAATGACAGATTTCATGAGGAAAACTTCAACAGATGCAGGAGAGGGAAGTAGCTGTCCAATAAACAGAGCTACCGGCAGCCAGTGTACAGTACATGATGAACGTGGCATTAATGAAAGTACAGCATTACCAGTGCCTAGTACCAGGGCAGATCTGCTGGGTAATTAAAAAGGTGATGTCACACTACTCATTCAATTCCAGCTCTGATGTCTCAGCCATTTTGTCCAGATGTTCCCAGACAGTGAGATTGCCAACAAGTTTTCATGTGGTGCAACAAAAGCAGCTTACCTTATATGTTTTGGCTTAGGTCCTTATTTGAAAGAGCAACGGGTCAGTGATATAAGAAAAGCACCGTGCTATGTAGATTCTTTTGATGAATGTCTGAATAAAGTGACACAGACAGAGCGGTTGGATGTTGTAGTGAGACACTGGAGTGAACACAAAGGGAAGGTTGTGGTGCATTATTTTGATTCAGAGTTTATGGGACACACGCAAGCAGAGAAGCTTCTGGAAAGGATCAAGATAGCCCTGTCACCATTAAATCCCAATAAGCTGTTGCAGATTTCAGTGGATGGCCCTGCTGTCAAATGGAAGCTCCCGAGGATATTCCAAGAGGACACAAGCCAAGAGGACCCAGATGCACCAAAGATGATACATTTGGGAAGCTGTGGTTTGCATGTTCTTCATGGAAGTTTTCAAGATGGAGAAAGAGAAACCGGTTGGAAGGTGGGACATGTGCTTAGAGCACTTTGGCAGATGTTCCATGACTCACCAGCAAGACGTGCTGACTTCATTGAGGTGACCAAAACAACAACATTTCCTCTGAAGTTCTGTGCCCATCGATGGGTTGAAGACTTGGCAGTTGCAGAGCGGGCAATGGAAGTGTGGCCAGCTGTGCAACAGTACATCAGCAGCCACCAGAAACTCCCAAAAAGCAAAGTACCATCATCTGCTTCCTACTGTACAGTGAAAGGGGCCGCAGCTGATCCTCTCTTTCAGGCAAAGCTCCAGCTTTTTGCATTTGTTTCCAGACAGCTGAAGCCTTTTTTGGAGAAATTCCAGACAGATGCACCAATGGTGCCTTTCCTTGCAAAAGAGCTTGAGTCCATCCTGAGATGCTTGCCGTCAGGCTTTATTAAAAGAGAAGAATTGGAGAAGATGAAAACACCTGTCCAGCTGCTGAAACTTGATGTGCAAAACAAATCAATCCATGTGCCACTCAAACAACTGGGCACTGCATTTGCTACAAAACAAGCTTTACAGAAAGCATCTGAAAAGCTCCAGGAAAATCCAGTGAACATACAGGTGTTCCTGAACGAATGCGTCACTTTCCTTGCTGTGACCTGCAAAAAGATTATGGAAAGAAGTCCACTTGTGTATCCAGCAGTGCGGCACATGAGCTCCCTCGACCCTGTGATCATGGTAACAGAGACTGAGCGTGCAATAACAATGTTTGAGAAACTCCTACAGGTTCTCCTCAATGCAGGATGGTGCACCGCCTCAGAGTGTGACAAAATCCTTGCTCAGTATAAAACTTTCTCAATGCATGCAAGTGTAAACCTCAAGGCAGAATTCCAAGATTTTTCATACAGATGCAGGCTCAAGGATTTTTTTGGGAGATTTATCAGTGGTAGAGCAGATTATGCAGCACTGTGGGACATGATGAAATGTCTCCTAACACTGCCTCATGGACAAGCAGCAGTGGAGCGAGGATACTCCGTGAACAAGGACATGCTAGTGGAAAACTTGAAAGAGAAGAGTCTGATAGCATTGCGGCTGGTCCAGGATGCAATGGCTGAGCGTGCAGTTAATGAAGCCCTGCCAAAAGACCTAATCCAACACTGCAAAGGAGCCAGAATGAGGTATATGCAATATCTCAAGGATGAAAAAAAGAATAAAGAACAAACTGCAAATGAGAGGAAAAGAAAGGAGCTCCACCAAGACATAGAAAATGTCAAAGCAAAACAGAAGAATAATGAAAAGCAGTGAGATGATGCAGAAAGAGGCAGACAAAATGGCAATGAAAGCAGAAAAAAACAGGACTTCACATTACTGTCCAAATCCAATGCTTATCGCAAACGTGTGGCTGAGAAAAAGGAAGAACTACAAGCCCTAGCTACAACACTGGAAGACCTGCAGGAGAGCGCCAAGAAGCTACAATAACTGAGATTTATTTTAGAGGAACATTTTAATTGAAATGACATTGCTTTGTTTTATATTGACTTTTTTGTACTGCAGGATAGGGTTTGAGTTTGAAATTTATATTTTTGATTTACTTTTGCAGTAATTTTCAGTTTTACTTCTAGAATGCAGGTGTCAGATGCACTAGGTCAGCTGTAAGTAAACAGTAAAAAGTTAAACTGAAGGAGTTTGTTTTGGTGATTTATTGAACATAAAATACTTTTTGAAGAAAGTACAAGAAAGTAAGAGGGAGATAAAAAAAACATTTGAGCATAACTGTCAAATACAAGATGTAAGGTACAGTACAATTGCAGAAAATAACACTTCTCCAAAGCTTGGGATACACGATACATACCGAAATTTAATTTCTACTTTATCATAATGATTTACTTCATATTATCCAGGAGGCTAAATGGATTTTACATTTAAACACATTTAGCTTTACAAAATGTAAATCCATTTCATCAATATAATTGGCAAAGAAATTACAAAGATTTGGTAAATCAAAATAATTAGGAGTCAAAAAGGCACAACTCATCAATTTATGCCATTATGTATACCGGATGCATAATTTGCCTTGGTGTGAGCAGATGCAATTAATTTAAAAGTTTGGTAATAGTTAATATTTTCCAACGTTAGTGACGGATTGCGAATGCAGTTTGGACTTTTAAAGTGATCTCAGCTCGTAAAATAGCTGTGTCTGGACCGGAGGAGTGACATTGTGTCAGGTCATCTTTTTCATTTTTTGTTTTCGCAAACCTGTTTTGTGTTTTGTTTATAATTGTGAATAAATGAAAATAAACTTGAAAAAAAATCTCTGTCATGTTTTTGTTCGGCTCAGCAATTAAACCAGGTGATTTCATTCAGCACAGTGAATTAACCTGGTTCAGTTGCTGAGCAGAACAAAAACATGACATGGAGATGACTTGATGATGCCACAATATGGCACCTCTGGTATGAACTAAAGTAGAGAATAACTTCTGTTTTAGTTGTGTTGCATTGTAAGTAGAGGAAAGCAGGTGGGATTGTTAAAGACAAAAATCTTTCCACAACTATATTGTCAATATAACGGTGTAGGTAGGTACAATATCATATCTGTTTCTAAATATATATATATATATATATATATATATATATATATATATATATATATATATATATATATATATATATATATATATATCATATCATATCGAGATATTGGCAAACCGTAGTTATGATAACTTGACTTGTACACTGAAAAAGTCTTGAAAATGTCCTGGAAAATATTTTCAAGAAAAGAGTGGGAACCCTGGCTGTATATTTCTCTCACGATGGCCAAATCTGCAGCCAGATCTTTCAGTTTTGCTTTTAAGAGTCAGCTTTATGGTATTTCAGAGGCAACATTTAACTCCATGTCTGATGTTGTCAGGACTGTTGTACTCAGATTGATCTGAGAATCTTGAATCTGTTATGTGTCCTGCTGATTGTAGGTTGAGCCCCAGCTGTGATCTGTTGGAGCCCAGACATGCTACTGGTGAGCAGCAGCAGCAGCATCCAGCTTTAAACCCATCACACAGCAGCATCATCCATGACTCCGCCCACCAAACAGCGCACCACGTGTCTGAGGAAAACAAGGAGCCAAAGAATCTGACCTCCTAGATGTTTCTACTCTCTCCCCCTGTGATGCACCCAGCCCCATGTGGTGCTGGTTTCTGTTTTTGTGTGCCCAATGTTGTTTAGTGGCACCAAAATGCAACAGACAAGTATTTCCAAAGTGTGTATAGGACCTGAATCTGTGGGATGTAGGCTGGAGTTGCTGATTTAGTTGGGTGAATCAGTGAGTTTGGGAGTTTTTAGTCTGAATGTCAAAAAGGACAACCCTGTCCCAGCTGTCCAGCTACCAATGGCCTTTTTTAAATGAGCGCATGCTTTAGTTTTATAGACGTTAGCTGAATGATGTATGATACTTGCTAAAAGACAAATGTAATATTATTGTAAATGTACTTAGTTACTGTAGAGTCTGAGTTTGTTACTGTAGTCGGAACACTGAGATTGATGTCAGGGACGTCCTGATACGTCCAGTATTCAGCCTTAGAGACGCTGTCCTGTGGTAAACTGTCTTAATCTAATGTCTTACGTCCTTCCTGAACAGAAAGCTTACGCTCAGACCTCTTCTCCTAATGATCAAACACTGTTTTATTTTTATTTTTTATATAAAATATTCACTTAAGCTGAATTTAGTTTTTGGGCTGAATTTGCTGATTAGTTTTTATTTTAGGATGGTTTTTGCACAAGTGTCATCATGTCATCTGGTTAAAGAATTATTTGTTTAAATATTTTTTAAATCTAAAAAAATGAAGCAGATATTGAAACGGATATTTTGCACATTTTTAAATATCATCAGTTCAAAGACTCTGAACCATCTTGAGACAAATTAGGTGGACCTTTTATTGAAGTGAAATTTTAGCATTTCTCTTGTGTTCTGTGAGAAAGATACAAATAATATTTAGCTGACTTCATGAACAGTTCATCCATCCATCCATTTTCGGCCGCGTATCCGGGGTCGGGTCGTAGGGGCAGTAGCCTAAAGCCCTCCCCTTAGCAGGGAGGCCCAGACTTCCCTCTCCCCAGCTACTTGGGTCAGCTCTTCCGGGGGAATCCTAAGGTGTTCCCTGACCAGCCAAGAGAGGTAGTCCTTCCAGCGTGTTCTGGGTCCTCCCTTAGGTCTCCTCCCAGTTAGATGTGCCCAGAAAATCTCACCAGGGAGGTGTTCAGGAGGCCTCCTAACTAGATGCCCTGGCCACCTCAACTGGCTCCTCTCGATGTGGAAGAGCAGCGGGTCTACGCCGAGCCCCTTCCGGATGACCGACTTATTACCTTACCTCTAAGGGAGAGAGCCCAGCCATCCTGCGGAGAAAACTCACTTAGGCCACTTGTGTCCACAATCTTGTTTGTTCGGTCACTACCCAAAGCTCGTGACCATAGGTGAGGGTAGGAACGTAAAACTACCGGTAAATAGAGAACTTTGCCTTCTGGCTCCGCTCGCTTCACCACGACAGACCGGTACAACGCCCAACATCACTGCAGATGCAGCACCAATCCGCCTGTCGATCTCATGTTCATGACTGATGAGCGAACGGCAAGTCAGCTCTGATTTCAGAGTTTATGCGCGGTCACTTATTTTGCATTACAGTTGTTTATATTGTGTTTTCTTTACAAGCATAAATACAGCATTTCTGTTCCGTCTGGGTGTCGGGGTTTCTGCTGAATCCCCCAGAATCAAAGGCCTGCAATAACATCGGGTGGACTGTTGCTGTTGGCAGCAACTCAGCTGTGCTAGGACTAGCCGTTATGTTGACATAAACAATTTTTCTAAATGTTGGCCATTCAGGAAAGTGTCTCCCGTGGGCTAAGAGAAATTTTGAATTTTAAAATGCTTGAAGAGACTGGAGCAATTTTAAGAGCAGCAAACTTGGGTCTGAATTCAGGATAGCTCTACAGGCTTTCCCCAAATTAACAGGATTTGGTGTGAATATGTGTACACAGAATCACTTTATAACCGTCAAATCTCTTTTAAACCTCAAACCACACATTATATAAAGATATAAGTGAAGATTGTGGATTTGGGGTAAGAATATTTATGAAAAAGTTCACAAAACGTCTCGAGTTTTAGAACAGCCTGTGTGATTTATTTAAAGTTGTCTTGTCTAAATGCTGCAAAAGGGACCGACTGTTCCTCAGAGACGTTTTCATGGTTCAGCCACCAACTTAAAGGGAATCTGTGTCATTGTCTGTTTTCTATTTTTGTCATGTGGATGGAGTTTGGGATGCAGTTCTGGATCGCCTCTGAAGTTTTTTGTTACATTTCGTGTCTTTGCTGTTTTAGTTTGATGATTAAAACTCTAGGTTTATAAGCTGCGGTGTGTGAGTGTGAGTCACTTATTCCTCTCCGTTTGCAGCGGAGCACTGGTGTTTTCTTTATTTTCTGCATGCTTGGCTCCTTCCCTTCTGCCCTCCTCTGGACTGCAGCCTCAGCTCTCCTCACATTCAGTCCGCGTCTGTCCGCCTCGAGATGATCTCCCGCCTGCTGCTGCTCGCCTGCGTGGCTTTGCCTCTGTACGGAGAGGAGAAGGTGAGAAACCGAGGATACCGAAAAGATCCTGATGCCGACAAGGTAAGGACTGAAAATCAGAACTCCACAAGACAACGAAATTAAGCTTTTTTCTAATTCTCCCATAATAAATGAACCGGTGTTCAGTCGTGACTGTGACGTCACTCAACGTTTCTTGCATTTTTCGTGCGCCTCGTGTAACATTCATTCTTTTTACCCAGCCTCCCTTGCATCTCTGATGGGGAGTTATCTGTGGAGCCACAAATTAATTATGAGTGTACAAAAGTGTGAACAAGCCGCAGAAGCGTTTTCACTTCTAATTTGCGGATTTGTCGCATTTTTGAGCAATTTTAACGCAAAACTGCACCGAACAGTTTGGTTCAGTCCGGAATAGTGCGATGTGGATTTCTGATGTTTTAAAATGTGGACAAAATCCACACAAAACGTAAATGTCTTTAAAGAGAAGGGACTCTGGCAAAACTGTAGAGCTCACATCACAGGTGACAGTTCCAGGTAGGCCTATTTCCTTCTTTACACAAAACGTTTAGTGGGAGAGTTAAAGTCACAAAAAAATGTTCAGATCTAAAAACTCATCTGACTCCAACAACTGTTACGGAACATAAAGCAGACATGAGGCATGCTTAGGTCTCCATCACGTCCCAGAGCCATCCATCTTCATTGTATTTTAGCATATTTTATTTAAAACTGGTAATGAAGGGAGTTGTAGCATGCAATATATATATATATATATATATATATATATATATATATATATATATATATATATATATATATATATATATATATATATATATAACATTAAAATCTGAACCACCAGTGCCTTCTGCTTCACAGTTTAACACAACCTCTGCTTTTCAGCTGGCGGCTGCTTGTCCAAGGCTCTTTTGATTCCTGTCTTCTTCTCATCTATAGTTTGCTGTCAGGGAATAGGAGGACAGGATTTGTGGTGACCTTAATGAGCCACTGAGAGCAGTTTTAACATTTTCGTACACCAGACTGGACATTGGAGATTGTTCCAAATGTGACGATAGAACTGCGGACAGGAAAAACATTGGCATCTTTAAATGTCTTCAGAAGTTTTCTAGATTGGGCATGGACATAAAAACACTCTTCAGAAACATCTAGTTCCTTCAGCAGATCATAACTTAAACCTTTCTGACATTTTTGAACCTTTACAGCTGGTTGTCCTTTAGTCCAGGGTTGGCAGCTCTCCAGCAGACTGAATGAATTCTTTAAAACAGGAAGTTAGGGTCTGGCTCATACCATCTGTCTGCCTTTGTTATCTGTGTTCATGTTTTTCCACTTTAGAAATAACCTTTTCTCATTTATTTTATAATTAAACTTACTGCTAATAAAAACCCTTAAAGCAGGGTTCAACTATTTGATTTGATTCTCGAGCCTCTTGCTCATGTTTTCAGTCTGGTTGGCTGATAAAAACACAGATTTGGAGAGTAAACAGTGAAACCTGGTTTTGCTGGGGGCTCCATCAGGATCAGCTCCCTTCTTCCCCCCAAAGTCTTACCTACGTTACTCTTCTTGGACAACTGTGACCACATGTGAAGCGTAATAAAGAACATATTGTGTTACCATCTGTATCTAGTGCTCTGGAAATGATGCAGAAAAGGCCAACTGCACTAGACACGCCGCTGAGGGGAGATCTACTTTTCTGAACAGCATGGTAATCATTAAGTCCTACTTTGCATCTAACGGAGATCTTTTGAATCAGAAATCCCTCAAAGCTGAGCTTTATAATTTTGCTCTGCATGAGCCAAGAAAGTACCGACTGGTGTTGACTAATGCATGAAACGCCTCTGATTCCAAAGCCTCCTTTATTCTTCTAGTTACAGTATCTGACTGTGTGGTACTGATATTCAAAATGGCTGGAGTGTAAACCACGCAGACAGGAAGGAGGTAGCTAATACAACACCCAGCTGTGCTTAGAGACAGAGTTCTCTTTCTGCTCTGCAACTTCTCTAAAAATCCAACAATCTGAGCGTTTTGTAGCTGCACCCTTTCCATGCTCAGTCACCAGGAAGGAGCCTGGAAGTCCCAATTTCCTGGAAGCGTTTCAGCACATGCAAAAAAAAAAAACCAACCTCCCACTTTAAAATTATGTTGCTGACTCCCCAGCTCCTTTAGAGATGATGTAAGGTCTGATGCCCCCAGGTTGCCTCAGCGTTGGCTGCTTAATGGCTAAAACAGTCTCTCCACCATCTGTTCAAATGCAGCTAAGATTACAATCCCATAGTTCTTCTATTGGGGGCGTATTTCCAAATTGGACACTCTAAAATACATTTTTGTCCTTATTCTCCAGGGACTTGAGTCGGGACAAGATGTAGAAATTCATGTAAAAGCTCTTTGTTCTCCTCTTCTGCTCCAGATACATTTTTCCTGACTGTTTTTTGCCTTGCACCTCTCCTTCCTCTCCGGAGGAACATGTAACTCTTCTCTATTTGGCTCCTCCACCGTGTGTCTGTGCATGTGGTAGCTTTATGTGTGTGTGTCTGAGTCAGCGTTTAGATGCTGTGTCCGTTTAAGGATAGCAGATTCAACAGGACAGTGAATCACACTGGGACATGTGTAGCCAGACACCTACTCATTAGACGGCCTCCAGTTGCTCATTTACACCCGGCCTGCTATTCATTAGTTAGTGGCTTCAAGTTTGTTGATTCAACAGTTTCATGTCTTAATTTGGAACTCCATAGACTTGCTTCAGCCCTGTTGAGACTTCATTTGTTGATGTGAACTGTTCACATCAACAGAGTCCGTGCTTTATTACATGCATCCCCACAATTTCCCCACTATTATGTTTGTTCAGTATGGCAGCTGCATGCAAGGCCCAGCAGGCACCGCTGGCAGGGACGGTAACCCCGGATCCAACGGCATTCCAGGAACGCCTGGTATCCCGGGCCGTGACGGCCTCAAAGGTGAGAAAGGGGAATGCATTAGCGAGATTTTCGAAGAGCCCTGGAGGCCCAACTACAAGCAGTGTGCCTGGAACGCTCTGAATTATGGGATTGACCTGGGTAAAGTAGCTGTAAGTACCTCCCCAAGGCTTCTCCTTTTAGGAATAACAAATCCACACATCTTACTCCATGCTGTGTCACAGGATTGCACATTCACCAAGCTGCGCTCAGACAGCGCTCTCAGAGTCCTCTTCAGCGGTTCCCTCAGACTCAAGTGCAAGAACGCATGCTGTCAGAGGTGGTATTTCACCTTTAATGGAGCAGAGTGTACAGGACCCCTACCAGTGGAGTCCATCATCTACTTAGACCAGGGAAGTCCGGAGCTCAACTCCACCATCAACATCCACAGAACGTCTTCAGGTCTGTCACAAGTAACCGTGCATTCACTAAGAGGCCCGTTCTATCTGTAGAACATTTAAGAATTTGCTGAGAAAATGTTATTCCTCTTGTCTAATTTCACTTGGACCTTTTAAATTTGGCACTTTTATGAAACTGACTAAGGTTCACAAAACAGTGTGTTGGAGCGATGACCCAAGTCCTACAGGAAGTGGTCATTCTGGATTATGTATTAATACATTTCTCCTACAAATGTTTCATCGTCCACTCCAAATGAAGTCTGTATACTCTTGGAAGTTGGAATGTGACATGCTGTTGAAGCCAGCTAACGTTTCGAAAATACACATTTCTAAAGTCCAAACCCCTCTGTTCTGGCATCTTCAGAATACAGCAATGCAAAAGGCTTGTTCCCAAGGTGTGTGTGTGTGTGTGTGTTAGTGATGTGTCGGTCGCGAACGAATCGGCTCTAAGAGCCGGCTCTTTGAAGTGAACGACGGGAGCCGGCTCGTCATTGGGAGCCGGCCCCTCCCCCTCCACCCCGACTTGGTGGAAGCTACAGGAGACTGGTCTTCATATGTAACTGCGTGTCCAGACTGTCCACACATAGAGCAGTAGGGGCAGGGAAGAGGGAGGATCAGACTCAGACACACAGCAGAGCACATGTGGGAGGAGGGAGACGAGAGGGAATGAGGAGGAAAAAGGCGAGTGAGAGAGAGGAGAGCCCGACGAAGACGGTGAGAAAATGAGCGCCAGCAGTCGGAAAGTGGAGATTTCTTAAAGTGTTCAGTTATTAAATCCATAGAAATGATAAATATTTGATATATTGCTTTTTTTTTACATTAGTAAATCGTTTTACATATAGTTTAGCATTATTTTGGTTATAAATGTACTCTACGCAACAGTAAAGCTGAGGAGCCACTTGGGAGCCGAGCCAAAAGAACCGGCTCTCTAAAAAGAGCTGGAATTTCCATCACTAGTGTGTGTGTGGTGGGGGTTCAGAAGTGCAGTTTGATGGATGGATTATGATCCAATCATCATGAAAGGGAAGTTCAGGATTTTCCAGGATTGTATATTTCAGAGATGATTATAATTGTTTGCCATCAGTCAGTGAAGAGTTCCAAGCAAAATGGTAAACATGTTACATAAACTCTTCTACCATACCTTTAAGGCATGATGGAAGATAGCTATCAGGGTCTGGACGAGGTTAAACCTCAGACTTCCACTCCTCTATAAAACCCAGACTTGTGCAAGCTCGCACATATAAATGTCTGAGCTGCTGAGAAACATACTTTTACTCACAGATGTGGTCTCATGCACACCTACTTGTTAAAACCTTCACCTCACCGTAGCCCCGCCCACCGAGAACAGGAAGTTGCATGTTGTATTCTCATCTCCAAACTTTTGCTAGATGTCAGGTAAACCAGTTGATGTTACTTGATGGGTAAAGTGGTGACTTTTTGTTGGAGGCTTTGGACTTGGCAGCAAGTTGATCAGAACCTTCAAGAGTTACGGACCTAAACAAACTTGGTGTTTTAAGGTTTTATAATTGTATATTAAACCAGGTAACTAGAAGAAAACTGTAATTATTCCAGGACAGCTCCAGTCCTGCTGTATGTTTGCCTTTGTGTAGCTGCAAGCTCGGCAGTAAAAGACACTGAGCTTTTCATCTTCTACGTGTTTGTTCAACTGCTGTGGAGCAGTCTCGTTCCCTCAGCAGCACTCTTTTATTAAAACTTCAGAAGTTCACCACAGTATCATAAAAAAAGTATAATTAACACTTTTACCATCTCAGATTTCAGGGTGGATGTTTCATGAAGCTCATCCCCTCTGTTCTGTTCCTTCCCTTCTCCTCCTCTAAAGTTGAAGGACTGTGCGAGGGCATCAAAGCGGGACTGGTGGATGTGGCGGTGTGGGTGGGGACCTGTGCTGACTATCCCAGGGGTGACGCATCTACAGGCTGGAACTCCGTCTCCAGGATTATCGTGGAGGAGCTGCCTAAATAAGAGACCTGCATGAACGAGAGGCTCCAGCTCTGGTGCTGTAGCCGTGTTCACTGGCCCTCTGAAACGATCGGGGACGGCTTACCCAAGCGTCACAGCATCACTGATTGTAACTTGAATGTTTTTGTTTTCTTTAAACACCAAGCTGGTCATCAGCCCGTAGACAGGGACGCTGTGGTCCTGTCTGCTAGCAACACAAGTGTACGGTAGCTTTGTCTGCTTTATTGTTGTCAATAAAGTTCTTTTTTAAAGAATCAATTCTGTCAACAGTTACTTATAAATTAGTAGAAAAGCTGAAAGATAACAGGCTAGCATCAAACTGGCTAAAGACAAAGCAGATCAAGATTCATCTCACATATTAAAAACTTTCAGCTGACGTCATGAGGAAAAAAGTATTTTTTAAACAGGAGTGTGCAGACTAAACATCAGAACACACACACACACACACACACACACACACACACACACACACACAATAAAACCTGAGAGAAATTTAATGTCCATAAACAAAATTTAAATGTTTTTTCCCCTTTCTGCTGCCAGAACTTAAGTAAACAGAACCACAGCGGCACACACCCTTATCGTCTCACAGGTTGTGACTGTTGGAGACACAACACTGCAGCAAAAAAACCAACAGAATTTCCATTAGAAATCATTAAAGGTTCCATATCTGGTGATGCAACTGTAGTAACAAGTGTCTCAATGTGTCACCAACCGTCTCAGCTCAGCGAGGCTTGGCTTGTGTTTCTGAACCAGAGGCTGATCGTCATGTTTCAGAGTTCAGAATAAAAAAGAAAAGATGATTCAGCTGTTTCTCTGGGACTTCATTCAGCAACGTTTTCAGCATTCTTTTAAGTGCCAATGAATGCTCACTTCAGCCCTTCTCCTCATCCTGAACAGAGTCAGCGGAACAGTCTCCACGCTGCTCCAACAAGAGCCTGCAGTCTGGCAGCAAACCCCCTGCAGGATTTATTCAGTCCCAAGGAGGAAGCGAGACACATTCTCATAAACCACAAAGGTGATGCAGCAGGCGGGGGTGACACGAATTAGGTTTGGGATGATGCCTTTATAGAAACCGGCCGCACCTTCATTCCTGCAGAGAAAAGTGGGACATTATTGAAGACAGGTGGGCATGGACCAACTGAGAGCAGATGAGCCCCGTACCTCCATGTCCGCATGACGACATCAATAACTCCATTGTATCTGTTATGCTGGTCTTGCAGGCGAGCTCGCACCACCTGATAGGGGTACGTCGTGGCCACAGCAAATAGTTTTGATAATGCTGCCATTGTGACGTATTCCAGAGCATTCTGTCAGCAGAGAGAGCAGAGTGGGAAACGGGCCGTTGTCTAGGTGTTGGACTGTTTAAAATGAAAAGCTTTGACTCACCAGCTTCGCGTCTGAGGGCACTTTCCTGTACTTGTTGTAGTCTCTCTTGAGCTCTTCGTAGGCCATGAACTGCAGCGCTCCGTGTGACGTTCCAAACAGGCCAGGAACAAAACCCTCCATAAAAAACATGCTGTCAGTATTTCTGTGTAGACACGTATAAACACTGCAGTATAGATATTATCTACACACACAACATCAGTACTCATCTTTCTCATGCCTTTATTACATGAATGAGAAGTGAGTAGACGAGCATTCAAAGTTACGGCCATTTTTAATTTGAAAATCTTCACTGTTTAATATAGATACTAACATGAGTATAATTACAAAGCTGTGCTTTACAAAGGTAAATAGTGTGGTGGCGCCCTCTAGTGGTGAATGGCGATCTGCTCTGATTTTAACGTTTGAGAGTTTTGACCAAATAACAATTTAAAGCAACTTAAGTTTGTTTACAGTGCTGCACACCCGTAACATTCTCTGTGTTAATAAATGATAGAAGAATCCTAAACTAAGTGATGTCTCACTCGGTAGAGTCCTGCTACTCCCTCGCTGCGGTAGATCTTCACCAGAGCATCCACCATCCCCTTGTACTGCTTCCTGGTTGGGTCGGCGCTGTACTGCAGAACCATCTGGGTCTTAGTGACCCAGATTGGGTTGGTAATGGTAAGCGTTAGGACGCCTGCAAAAGAGGAACAGGAAATTGCTCCAATGAGGCTCACAAGACGGGCAGCAGATCTTTGTTCACACACATGCATCTCCACCAGTAAAGCCTTGTATCTAATTATGTCTTTAGTTAAACAGGTTAACAGCTTCCTGTAGAACAACAGATGAAACTCTAGATTTGAGAGGACCTTATCATCAGTTGCGACTAAAACGATGTGGTCTGCAGCTTCCCATCAAACCTTTGAAATAAGTGGAAGATGGCCATAATAACCAGCAGAATAAAACCAAAACCTTTACGTAGCATTCCATCTTCCTGCAAATTAGATATCTATACTTCCAGAACAATGGAAGTACACATATCTGGAATACATATCCAGTCTGTCGAATAAATGTTAAAAAGGCCACCTTAGGTTTTTAAGGACTCTGAGATATTTAAAAGTTAATTCCTACGAGTGCAGGCTCCGTCTTGTGTGTGACGACACATCAGTGTGGCTGTCAGAAAGCCCGACAGCGCTGCGGCGCTTCATTTGACCACATAAGTAACTGCACCCGTTTACACGCCTAGTAAAGGCAACAACGTTGCAAAAATGGGAATAGTGATTAACTAGATTACTCCGTTACCTAACACCGCTGTTATACTTAAACAGTGTTACTCCTAACACTGCTCTACACCCCCCCTGGGACATTTCTCTGTTTAAAATCCTTTTTTTTTGGTTTATTATTATTTCATGTAATACTCCAATATTTGTGCTGTGGTATCTTTCTATTTTTAGAGGCACTTTTCAATAGATTTAAAAATAATCTCACCTTCATCTGCTGAAATCTACACAAAAGCTTAATTTCCATATCCTGGCCTGCCAGACGCGTCCTGTGTTGAATTCTACACAGAGAACTAATAAGGAAGCATGGAGCTGGCTGGTCAGGCTCTCATTTTCAGCACCTACGATGGATTTATCAGAGGGAAACAGACCTATTTGACGTTGTGAAGCTCTCATAAACAAAGCTGTGCATTAGTTTGTATCTGCTCTGTCAGTTCAGGCCAGCACAGAGCAGTATTATCAGCTGCTATTGGCTGTGTGCTGATTGAATGAGCATGTGCTTGCACAGATCTAAAACTAACCAGCTTCAGCCGCCGAGACAAGGTGCTCTCCTGCACTTAGTTCAGTCTGACGCCCTTCTTTTGTATACCCTTTGATTGCATTGTAACTGCAAAAGAACACAGAATAGACAGTGAGACATCCCATAGTGAAACACTTCCAATACAAACTTTCTCATGAATGCTGCAGATATACAGTCAGAAGTTTACATACAAGAAGAAATAGAGACCCCAGGAAGCACCAGCACCCCAAACATTAGGTGTCACTCCCTGGTAGAGACCCCTCAGTCCCTCCTGGTGCCACACACTCTTCATACAGTGAAACATGCCGCTGTACTTAGGTCTCAGCTCCAGGCCATCACTCACTGCGTTAGACAGACGTTCAAATTATGTTATGGCAAAAGTAATGAACTAAGCTCTGTGCAGGTGTTTTAAAATAAACCTGCCAGAGCAGATAAAGCCACATGTGGACAAGGGCTGTGCACGAATAATAAGAGAAAAGAAACTAGCTTTACTGTGTATTCTCTAGACATACCTGCAAACCTGATCTTGACGAGGTCTAGTGGGTGAAGCACCAGCGTCGACACAACTCCACCGCTGAGTCCTGCCACCAGGTTTTCTATTCTCACATGGCTGAAGACTTTCTGGAGGCTTCCGGTTACAGTGACAGCGGACATGGACTTGTTGGACAGCTCTGTCTCGGCAGCGGTACCGTGTTTAGGAGCAGAACTCATGCTCGCAAAAGCTAAACAAAAAAAAAAAAAGAACGTAGCTAGCTCAGCTCAGTTTACAGCGCGCGCAGCTCGTATCACCCAAAAACTCCAGCTTGCTCCAAAACATCGAGACAACTGACTGAAGCCACCGCAGCATTTAACTACAACACGCATATTAATGCATGCCACAAACTGAAACAGGTTTCTAACAAGAGGCGAAATTCCCTAAAGGTACTTCTTCAACATGACAGCCCTGCTTCATCGACCTTGCGGAGTACGTAAGCGTCAATGTTGCTGTTGTTGAAACAAGGTTTCCGAATATTTTTCAAAATAAAATACAAACTTTTTTGAACCAGGACATATTTTTTTCTTTCATAAATTTTGACACAATTTGAAGCGTTTAGAAGCATTAAAATTGCTTTTAGTTTTATCTTCACTGATGTGATTATTGCTTTTATTTTTTATTTTAAGACAAGGCTGGTTTGTCTTAATGATTTTATAATTTATTATTTACCATGTGACCACTCTTTCATTTTTTGTGTAGAGCACACCATTTAGATTATTTAAGTTGTTTATCTATTTAGACAAAAAGGATATGAACAGACAAGCAACGAAATTATTCAAAAAATCCAGTTTCATATGCACACTGCTTAAGCTTATTGTAAACTTAAAAATAAAAAGTAAGCCAAAATGAAGTCTTCCGGTTCTTTGTTTATATGAAATCTTGAACTTGATTAAAATTTCTTGATGATGCAACGAGGAGGACCAGCCATCCCACAATGCAACGCGGAACTCCTTCTACGCTAAACTATCTACACATGGTTGCATGTCCAAGACAGTAGTCTTAACGAAATTAAACATTTTCTAAAGTTCTTATGTTGTTTTTCGCTTCCAAATGAAAGTCAAAGTTCTCTCAAGAAACCCGGACGACTATGTCCGGGAGACTAAACTAGACATTCAGCGTGGTAAGTGTTGGATATTTATCTGCGAGATGCTAACGTAGCTAGCCACAGTCTGTTTACGTCCATGTAGCAACAACATTAAGATAGCACAACTGTTTGTTCTGGGGAATTACTATAGTCGGTTTAAATTGAACATTTAATTAATTCTCTAATATATTAGTTCTCACTTATACTGCAAGCTCTGTTTGTTTTTGTGATTGTAGAAAGAAGATTTTGTTATTTACATCGTGTTTTTGACTTAAAGACACTTTTTTAAAATTTATTTGTCAGTCCCTAGAAACTATGACCCATCCCTTCATCCGTTCGAGGTGAGCAGAGAGTACACACGGGCTCTGAATGCCACTAAGTTGGAGCGGGTGTTTGCAAAGCCTTTCCTGGCTTCACTGGATGGTCACAGAGATGGTGTCAATTGTTTGGCAAAACATACCCAGAGCCTCTCCACCCTGCTGTCAGGCTCTTGTGATGGCGAGGTGAATAATCAGCCGATCACCAGAACTTCATAACCTCCCTTAATCTGAAATCCTTTCAGTAAATGTTGTCTTTCCTTTGATTTCACTTTTTTTAGCTGAAAGTCTGGGATCTCACCAAGCGTGAATGTGTCCGCACCCTGCAGGCACATGAAGGTTTTATTCGTGGCGTGGTTGTCAGATACTGTGGAACCTCCTTCTTTACGGTAAAATGTTTATCAACATCTGGAAGCTTAGGGAGCCCAAGTCTCCTCCCTTTTCGGTCAGCTCATGAGTCCCTTGAAGAACGGTAAAATGAATGCAAGTGAACAGGGCTAGAGGAGCTACTTTCTAATCTGCTTTTCCTTACGCCCTGGATCGCACATTTAAATGATAATGTGCCCGCACTTGTATAGCTCCTGTCAGAGTAAGGATTCCAAAGCGCTTTACACTACAGTGTATCATTCATCCATTCACACACACATTCACACACTGATGGCGATGAGCTACAATGTAGCCACAGCTGCCCTGGGGCGCACTGACGGAGGCGAGGCTGCCGAGAACAGGCACCACCGATCCCTCAAACCACCACCAGCAGGCAAGGTGGGTTAAATGTCTTGCCCAAAGACACAACAGCAGAATTGTCTGTCCGGAGCCGGGATCGAACCTTCCGATTACTATACAACCCCTCAACCTGTTGAGCTACTGCTGCCCATTTACTGCACTGCAATTTAAATGAAAAGTAATGATTGTGTGTTTTGACCACGCCAGTCATGATTTATCAGCTTGTAAAAATATGTAATTACTGTCACTACAAATCAGAAGGTATGTTGCATATCACCACAGAATCTCCTCCCCCCAGCCTAGCTGCTACCTACCACATGGCCAAATTTATAATAATAATAATGCATTTTATTTAAAAGCACCTTTCAAGGAACACAAAAACACTTTACAGCAATAAAACCAACAACATTTATGGTGGTTCTTCCCTCCTGAAGGAAGGATTTGAAGTTCACTGAACTTACAGCCATTTTTCCTCTGCTCTTCTCCATTTCTGATTCAATGTCGCAGTTTGGTGATGCACATTCGTAGTCCTGGACATATTTTCACACAAAATCTAAAATAACTTTTTTTCCTACTCGAAAAAAAAAGAGCTTTCTTAATATCAGAATGTGTCATTAAAATTCACGGATCATATGTGAAATCCATGGCACACAATTAGAAAATAACTTATAGCCCCACTGACTTGCATACATTTGTTTGTTCTTACAGGGATCCACAGTCTGGAAGTAGATGGGCGTGACTTAGGCTGCCTATTCTCTTTTTCTATGACCCCTCACCTGTTTCAGTCCTAATCTGATTATTAGATCAGTTGGTCAAGAGGATGTTTTTTGTAATCTGATGTCGGAGATGGGGTTACATGTCATGGTTTGATTATGATTTAGTGAGTTTTGGATGCAATTCTAAAAAACTTATTGAAGTGTTTAAAGTAAGGTATTTTAGTAAGATGCAGTAAATTAAATTTAATACAATTTTTATGAATGAAACAAAACAAATCTTTCAACTGAATCCAGTACTGAAATCACCACTTTCATTCAAAAATGCTTCAGAAGTTCATTTAATTTAGCCATCTGTCAGAACAAATGCATTTATTCAAATTTAAGTGGAGCCAAAAACTTCTGACTTTAACAATAGTGGTGTCAGTGAGAGTGTAATAAATTCCAGACAAATAAAACCAGCTAGAAAATAGTGAATGTTGGAATGGGAATTGAATGTTCTTCAAGGAAAGTCAAAGTCTGAAAATCACTTTCAGTCTCAAAGAAAGACGTCATACACTAATGTAATGCATAGTAATTATTAGCTTTATTAAATTACAGTTTGGTTCCAAACACAAGCAAGGCTGGACTTTGTTTAAATGGCTATAATTCAGTAGCCTGGCCAGTGCTTCCAAAGGGCCTGGTAACAAACCCATTAAAAACCCACACCCTGAGAATTCTGACCCAGCCAATTAGCACTGAGCAGCGTTTGTCACACACCGCAACGCTGCTCAGTGCTAAACAATAAACAGTAAAGACGGCGTCTGAGGCGGAGTTCGCTGCGGCTCTTTCCTCTGTTTTAAAGGACATGAACTTGTCTCTAAAACCACAAAAAGAAGCGCTAAAAGCCTTTCTTCTAAGGCAGGGTGATATGGCCTAAAATAAGTATCACAATATATTGAGGATTTCACCTCAATAACGGTAAATGGGTATAACTACAGGAATGTGCAGAAACAAAAGTTGTCCACTAGATGGGGCTGTCACGTGTATTAAGTCTAGTCACATTTTTACGTGACTCAAGGTGGTACAGCTTCTTAGAGGCACATGAACGTTGCCAACCTACCATACCATAGTTAATTTATACAGCACATGTAAAACGCAGCATAGGAGCTGTCCAAAGTGCCGCACTGACTAGACCAAAACACGACCAATCAAAGCAACAAAATCAGAAGATAAAAATACCAATCAATAAAAGCAAATAAAAAAAGGATAAATACTAAGAAACCAATAAAACACTAAAACAAGTCACGGTCTAAAAGCCAAGTCGTAAAAGTGGGTCTTTAAACGAGATTTAAAAACTGCCAATGATGGAGCCTGTCGAACTACAATGGTAGAGTTCCACAGCTTTGGGGCAGCATGTACAAATGCTCGTTCACCCCGTGATTTGTAAAGCATCCGGGGAGTGCAAAGCAGCAGGAGGTCAGCTGACCTCAACATGCGCGTGGGTACATAGGGAGCAAGCAGGTCAGAGAGATAGGGCAGTGTCAGGTCATTAAAGGGACATTATGGAAGTTTGACAGTCAAAACATGTATAGAAATAATTCATTTCTTCTTCATACATTCTCCTGCAATGCCCTGGTCCTGTAGAATGAGCCCTGGCATTTTTACTGTGATTGTCTGTTTTTCTGTAAAATAACAGAAAAAGAGAGCTGCTCGGGTCGAGCAGGCTGCTTCATGCGCGTTCACGCTCAGGCGTAGCCCGTAGCATTTGTTATCCCTAGCTTTAGGAGCAGAGAGAGAGGCAGTGCCACTTTGTCGCTGTTCCTAACGCCTAGTGACAAACCTAGCTACATTTGTGATGACCCTTAGCTACTTTCTGTAGAACTTTCTTCTAGATATTTCCTGCAAATTAGCAACAAAATAGCCATTTTCGCTTCGAACCGTTATTTGGTTTGGCGTTGTTTCAGGTGTCATCATCAAGGATATAAAAGTTACAGATACTGTGAATGTTACTGGTGTGTAGCTCACCTAGTAAGACGTCGGACTCTCGTGCAGAAGACCTGGGTTCGATTCTGGGTGTGAACATAGTTAATTTAGAGTTTATTTTCTTACATGAATGATATATTTTTTACAGTAAGATGCCCACATTTTTATTTGAGACTCGCAGAAAGGCATTGAATTCACAGAAAAACAAGATGTGGGTTCAACTTTCATTTTGGAACAATTTCTCAAGCCAGGGAAGGGAATGATCTGAGCATGCAGGAGGACTGACCCATCATAAACCTTTGTCGGCTGTGCTGAAGAGAAAGGTACAGAACCAAATTATTTAATTAATTAGCGGCGTGTTCTCCTGTCCTCTGTCCTCCGGGCCACACACACACACACACACACACACACACACACACACGGGACTGTCTCAGCTGTTATTTTTGTTAAGGAGTGTGCACGTACAGCATGCGCGCCTTGTGCACGAGCCTACTATTGACGCTGCCGTTACGCTTTTGGCCTGAGGGGGCAATCACGAGCATAAAAATTCAAAAGTCCGTAAAGTCCCTTTAAGTACTTTAAAGACAAAAGTCAATAACTTCAACTGTACTTGGAAAATGACAGGGAGCCAGTGAAGATGTTCCAGGACAGGGGTAATATGGCTATATTTGTCAAGAACCTGGCAGCAGCGTTCTGGACGACCTGCAGCTGATTCAGGGCAGAGACCGGAGCACCAGCTAGGAGGGCGTTTGCATAGTCCAGGCGAGAGGTAATGAAAGCATGGATGACTGACTCCAAATGCCTCCGCTTCAGGATTGGTCTTGATCATCGACATACATATATGGACAGTGGGTTTCCATTGACTCCAATAATAAGTTTTTGTACTAAAATGGGAGGTGGCCACCACCGCCATTTTGACCGTGTCACAGATTCCGTCAAGCCCAGACAATTCCATAAAAGGGAAGAGAGGTGGAGCTGAGGATGGGGCTGTAAGGCTGGGATCAACTGACGACACCCGGTTGAACTAGCTACAAGCTAACCTGAAGCTAACCCAAAGCTAATGCGTGGGTGGGAGCTAAGCTAACGGAGGTAGCAACCTAGCTACAACCGGAGTTAACTGTGCACAACACCAGAGCTTCTGAGTCAGAGATACGCCGGGCTGACCGCTGGGTAAAACTGGGTGGAACTCAGAGGTCTCCGAGACCTCCACAAGCTGGCAGCCGCACAGCAGACAAGCGCCGCTGCGATCTGAGATGCGCAGAGCTGCCGCTGGGGAGAACCGGGTGGAAAGGTTTCCATCCCAGAGCTCCACAAGCCGTCAGCCCACGCAGCAGACAGAAGCCGCGATCAGACAGAGATGCACCGAGCTGCAGGGAGGGGAGAACTGGGTGGAAAACATCGGTCTCCCGAGAGCTCCACAAGCCGATAGTCGGAACCCAGCTCCACCAACATGTTATATTTCAACCCATTTTCTAAAGTGCAGCATTGTGTTAAATGCACTGGGTTTGACCCTATTACTTTTAAATTTCATGGTTAAACAGTACATGTTAAAATCTAAGCTCAGCTCGGCAGTGACCTAAAATACATAAATATAATTTTACTTGCCGAAAAAAATGAAGTGGAGACTCCTTGGACGCTCTGTTAGTGCAATTAACGCCACAGCAAGTCACTTTGTCCAACAATTGCACAAATAATATCCAAAAAAGAATACACAAACACAGAGACTCAAAATCCCAGAGCAGTTTCCAGGCCAGACCGAGGCTCTACTAAGGCCTTTCCACGGAGCTAGCTCTGTGGTCACGTAGGTCTGATGCTCATTAATTATACAGAATTTTAGGCTTTCAATACACTTAAATAGAAGAGTGAGAAAAAAATTCACCCCCCTCAAAGTTGTCATGAGTGTAAACTAGATCATTTAAACCAAAAACATGTTTTGGTACCAGGCTGTAAACATGTTTATTTCTGCTGTGAAATTGGTATTTTTAACATGGGAGTCAATGAGGATTTGCTCGTTTCTGACACCAGCCCCCAGCGGATGAGGGTGGAACTGCAATTTTTGGTACTTCTGGGTTGAGACCAATTTCTGAACCGCATTGTGGGGGCTTGGTCTTGATGCACATCTTTTTATTTTTATTTATCAAGTTTATTGAGATGGGATAAATTTTCTCGATAAGAGTCAAAAATTTCAATAACAGTAAATTTTCTATTGATTGCCCAGCCCTACTTTCTTCTAAAGAAAGATGTTTGCGCCGTCGCCAGGCGCTGTCTTTGACTACAGCTAAAAATCTGCAGCATAGTGTGATACAGTCGTCATTTCCGCCTTTTTTCTGATTGGTTATTTTTGAGCTGGCTAGTCCCGCCCCTCATGGTGGTCTCTGCCTTGAGTATCCAGACTCGTCCTCTGTGTAGAGTAGACAGAGGGCAAGTCTAGCTGGCCAGGCTAATAATCCAACACTAGCTTAAAAGTATTTTATTAAACTCCAGACACTTAATTCTGACTCTGTTAGGAGAAAACAACTTTATATTATTATTCAGACTAATATTTGTGTTGAAATGACTCGATTCACCCAGCCAAACCAGTATGGAGGAGTTTTCAGGCTGTATGCTCCTGTGGAAGGGATCACTTTGTTGCAGAACACCGGTCTCCCGCAGCCAGCTCTATTGTGCTTAAAAGTTCACCCTTTCACTGGTGCACTATTTCTAAACTCCTACTCTGTGTTTGCTACACACAAGCAGAACTTGTGTCTTAATGTCTCGGTGCTGCACTTCCTCATGTTGGAGTTGATCTTTTTCCTTTCTTCATTGGGTACAATAGTTATCGTTAATAAATTCAATTATTAACATACTGAGCGTTCAAACTAAACACACGTGATTGTAACAGGTTGGAGATGACAAAACAATAAAACAGTGGACTATGGAGACACCAGGGTATGGGGAAGAGGAGGAGCCGCTTAACACAATCCTGGGCAAGGTAAGATCAGTTCTAACAGAAATAACATCAGTTAGTTATCACTTTATGACAATGTTAATGGAAAAAACACTGTCTTTGTAGACTGTGTTCACAGGACTGGACCATCACCAAAACAAGAGTGTGTTTGCAACTTGTGGCCAGCAGGTAGACATCTGGGATGAGCAGAGGAGCAGCCCGATCCGCTCCTTTAGCTGGGGTGTGGACAGCTTCAGCTCTATCCGCTTTAACCCCGTAGAGGTAGGACACTCTGTCCCCCATGCTCAGAGAAGTCTTTAGTGTTCACAAAGAGTTAATTCCTCGGTTTAGATTTGCAGACTTAGTTATAATTAATCAGACATCCCAACGTTTATTTCTCCACAGACGGATCTTCTGGGGAGCTGTGCCTCCGACAGAAGTATAATTTTATATGACATGAGGGAGTCGACACCACTTAAAAAGGTAGAATCCACATCGTTTTGTGCATACATGTGTTATTTTATTTCTCGTTATCCAAGAAAATGACAGTAAATTATTGTTGTTTTCATTTCCTTCTGTAGGTTGTCATGACAATGAGGAGCAATACGTTGTGCTGGAACCCCATGGAAGCCTTTCACTTCACTTGTGCTAATGAAGACTACAAGTGAGTTTAAGAGTAAAAACTTGGTTTCTTCCCTTGATCAAATCAGAAGTCAGTGGATTGTTTATGTGTTCAGATGTGTGAGACAAACGCTATCAAGTACGTTCTAATTATTTTAATTAAAAACTCAAACTGAATTAACAAAAGAGGAATTGAAACAAATCAAGATGAAATGTGACCAACCTTTACGTTTAAAATGGAAGCAACGTTTGATACACAGTAAACCTGGCTTTTGAAGGAACTCTGCAGCTCGCAGCACTAACCTCGGGTCTTCTGTTGATGTTTCTGGCTCAACCTCTTCCCTTCTTCATGTCGTCACACACACACACACATAATGAGTCTGTACCAGGACTCGTTTTAAATCTTTGTCCTGTTGCAGATTAACTCTGGAGCTAACCTGGTGCCCCTCTGATGGCATCATGATGGATGAATACCAGCTTTTATTTCTAGCATTGAGCTCACCGTTAACCCTGAGCAGATCACCCACTGATTTAGCTGAAATGCAGCCCCAAACATGTAAAAGAACCCACTCTAATGTTTTTTTCCCCAGACCCTCGTTAATGGGACATTCGTGCTTTTCTATGGAACGGCTGTTCTGTTGCAGACACAAGTTTGACTCATCAGTCCAGAGAACCTGCTGCCTTTTTTCACTTCAGATTTTATGATTTTGTGCAAAGTTGAGTAACTAGTAGGGTCTTCTTTCTGGAGGGAAGTTACCAGAATGAGTCGAGTAATCACAGACCAGGTTATGCCAGGTGTTCCACGGGGGTGGGTCAATTGCTTAGATGTCATTTCACCATTGTGAGATAATGACTAATAGGACTTTAACTTAACTTTATTCAAGGCGTTAAACAAATCTGTAAACAAGTTAGGTTTGAATGCAAACATGACCATGGAACACTCACCTCTTCCTTTGAGGATCTTCTCAAAGCAGAGGAGTGCCGGAACTGGAAACCTGTGATGACGAGATGGCGCTAAACACCAGTCACCATTTTCTAGATCCAAACATATTTTTTTGTCCGTGACTTCAGCTGGCTTTTTTCTTTTTGGGACTCTGGTAGTGTCCTAAAGCTGAAGTGGAAGCAGCCGGCTGTTTCTCCCCCTCTGATTTTATTGAGCGGAGAACCTCTCACACCAGTGGTGTTCTGTTGCTAAATACGTGAGTGTGTGATGAGTGGAGGACCCAGGGAAGTGCAACAGTTCAAATGGTCCAATGGTTGGCTTTGGTCTGAAATGTTTTATTGGTGGAGTTTTTAGACAAATGCGAGATAACCGCTTTATTCTTTTTTTTTTATTTTTTCCTCATTTTAATTTCCACAGTATATTTATAGCTATACTATGTTAAAACATTAAGAGGCATGAAAAAATGTTATAAGCTAATTTGTTTTCCAAATCTGTCATTGTAACTTTGAATATTGATTTGATGAGTATTTTATTTTGGTTATATTAGATTGTTCATTACAGATCTTTGTTCTAAATGACCAACAAAAGGTTTTATATCTGTTTCTGTTTATCTCACCAGCCTGTACACATATGACATGAGGTTTCTTGAAAAGCCCATCAAGGTCCACATGGACCATGTCTCTGCAGTTCTGGATGTGGACTATTCTCCCACTGGACAGGAGTTTGTGTCTGCCAGTTTTGACAAGACCATTCGTATTTTTCCCAAGAATGACGGACACAGCAGGTCAGTTACAGCAGTCAGGGAAGCTGACTGGGTAGAAACTTGATTTCTTTAAAGCCACACTACGCAACTTTTAAAATCATTTTCTTCAGCCAGTGTGTGCTAAAACGACCCATTACAGGGTTAATGAAATGTCGCTCAGACCCCCATCGCCCTCTGTGGCCAGAGTATTGCACTTTCAAGTTCATAGTGTCTGTCTGGTCCCTGTTGGATTTACTAAAGTGGAGCTGACATGCCTGGCGCTGGAGTCTGCTACCCCACCACATTTCCTGTTTGTTTTAATGATAATAATAATGCATTTTATTAAAAGTATCTTTCAGGGAACTCAAGGTCACTGTACCACAAAATAATAAAAATCGAATTAAAACTTTAAATCAGTGAAAAACAAATCACTCCTATAAACTCTAGTGAAAACAAAACAATGGAACTATCTCATAAACAGTAGGCAGTCTTGAAAAGGTGAGTTTCCGGTATCCAGCATGTTTTAGTGGTTTCTCGGCTCCAACACACTAGATTCAGTGGTTGAATCACCTGTGCAGCAGCTCATAAGGTTCTGCAGAAGCCTGTTAATCACCTGCTGATTGAAACCAGGCGTGCTGGTTACCGGTCCGGAATAATGGAACAGAACCATTGTGATCTTATTATTATTATTTAATCAGATCAGTTTGGGTAGTTAAACAGGTGCTAGCTTAGAAACTGGAGCATTAATATGTAACAACACCATGATATTCGTTAGGATCAGTCAGAACAAAAATATTCTTATTCGACGTGGTGGAGTTTTAGTGTTTTACTTGGCTTTCGTCTGTATTAAACTCAGGGAAGTTTACCACACCAAACGTATGCAGCATGTCATCTGTGTGAAGTGGTCGTCAGACAGCAAGTACATCCTGAGCGGGTCCGATGAGATGAACATCCGGCTGTGGAAGGCCAACGCAGCAGAGAAACTGGGAGTGGTGAGTGCCTTATCTACATTGTTCTTGTGTTTTTATAGTCAATGGAACGAGCTGCTTCCTGGCAGCTCTCTGGGTAATTTCTCATTATAATGTCTACATGCTGATCAACAGCTGAATTTCCCTGAGTTGTCAAATTTCTCATATCTCTGATCTGTTTTTATTTAATGAGCTGGCTGCCTTCTTCAACACAGCCTTGGCTCTGCGCCCACCTCAGTACTGTAACAGTGTGTGGCTCTGCCAGCAGCTACGGTGCAACTGTTGCCAAATACACTGATGGATGCTGACTTAGGGCAGAGTCACTCTCAATAAGTAGGCTGCTCCCGTGGTTGAAAGGGAAGTCCTAAAAACTCAAAACATTTGTATGGTGCTTTGGCAAAGGGTCCAAAATAACAAAATCCAACAGATTGTTTCTAACTTTTTTTTTGTCTTTGCTGGTGACTACTGCTATCATTACATGCAGTGATTCATGCTACTGGGTTCTCGGCTCTCTTGCGGAGCTTGTTTAGATCTCAGGGAAGTGATCTACTTCTCCTAAAGCCTGCCGCACACAAAAGAAAACTGCTGAGCTAACAGTCATTTGAGGCCGTTTGCTCAGCAGATACCTCGCTGCGTGCGCCTAATTTTCACTGAGTTTTCTGCCTCATGAGACTTTGAGGGGAAAATCAAAGCGGTTTAATATTTTTCTCCTCACGGGGGTTAGAAACTCACCGTGTGCGCCGAACATGAGCTGCCGGCTGAGGTGAAATATTCTAATCAAAGCGCGTTCTCCGCTCACATGATTCCAAGATGGCAGCCCCCTGTCTGCATGTCAGAAAATTAACAAAACGGAGACAGAGCTGGAAATGGAGGAAATGCTTCTACTTGTTTTGTTGATGAGGTGTTGCTGCCACCGTCATTTCAAGGTTAGGAGAGTATGAGTACGGTGGCTGCAAAGAAGGGCCAGGCAAGGAGTTTATGCCAATCTACTCCAAGAGATGCACCTTAAAGACCCAGAATCCTTCCGACAGCACCGCCGCCTGGATGCTGAATCCTGAAAGAGCAGTGGAAACAGTGGACCCATCGAGGTACCGTTTTGTTTATTTTCTGACATGCAGACCGGGGGCTGCATCTATCTTGGAATCGTGTGAGTGGAGAACGCTCTTTGATTGGCCACTAGAATATTTCAGCTCAGCCGGCAGCTAACGTTGGGCGCACACGGTGAGTTTCTAGCCCCTGTGAGGCGAAAAATATTAAACCGCTTTGATTTTCACCTCCAAGTCTCATGAGTTAGAAAACTCAGTGAAAATTAGGCGCACGCAGAGAGGTATCTGCGGAGTAAACTGCCTCAAATGACTTTTAGCTCAGCAGTTTGCTCTCGTGTGCGGCAGACTTAAACTACCAGTCCCAGCGAAATCTTAAGGCTCATCATGTGTGTCATCTCCAGCAGCCGTTTTCTACAATTAATCAGATTCCCTCTGGCTTATTCTCTTAATGCAGCTTCGTAGTGGAAATGGTCTGCTTTTGGCACTTGTCTTACTGTCATCGTGTAAGAGAAGATTTATTTGCAAGCTTTGCACTTAGATAGATCAGACAAGGGCTGCTCCTATCAGCAGTTTAAATCAGCCAATCACTTAAATAGAGGGAACTTTGAACATAATGAAGCATTTAAGAATCAAGTTGTTCTGAGAGGGTCTTTAATTATCAGGAGATGCTGAAATGCTGAATCAAGGCGAAGGTATCAGACTGGACTGATGTGGGCTTTTCTGTCAGCTACTGAACACTGTTTTCAAGTTTCTAAACAAGGACTTTTTGAATCCAGTCCAAGTTGTGATTAATATGTGAAAGCAGTCAGAACAGTTTGTCTTCTGGAAACTCTTATTCACTGAGTCACTGTGTTTATTGCTGGGAATGATATCTTGTAGTAAACAGGTTGTATAAGGTTTTCATCACAGTCACTAAGGTAAAAACACCACACCTGAAACCCGAAACAGTCTCCTCCTACTCCTCACCTATAAACAGTAGGGACAGTGATGGTGGACCTTTCAGTTCTGTTCTAAGTCACATCCTCTGTCAAAATTCTGTGGATAAAATTCGGAGAGAAAAACTGGAGGGAGACAGCTGTCCTCAATAAATAACTGATCAGGAACTGAGCAATGCCAAAAAGACAAATCAGGATTTCTTTCTTCATAGATGAAGAAACAGACTATTTCGGGTTTCAGGTGCAGCGTTTTTACCCAACCGATGGCATGGAATTATATCAGTGTTCCTGTGGGGTCTTAAAAGCATTGAATTTATGAATTTGGAAATAATACATTTACCTTCTCAGGTTCAGAATAAGTTTTGATAAAAGGACGAACAACTAAGTCCTTCAGGGGTACTTCTGAGTTAAAAAATGCTCATGAAATACATATGTTAACCTGGGGTCTCATTTATCAAACATTGCGTAGAATCCTTACTAAAACCGTACTTAAGCTCAGCAAAAAAAAATGTACTTACGCCAAGCAGGTTTGTGATCTATCAAACATGGAGTACGCACAGCTAGGGCTGGGCGATATGGCAGAAATAGAATATCACGATTTTTCCAATATTTTATCACGATTTCGATTTTATCACGATTTTTTATCCATGAATAGCATAACTTCAATTGCGTATTAAAGAAGAGAAACATTGAATAAATAAACATTTATTCATATTAGGGATAATCAGCACAGTGCTAACACACTTATATTTTAAACTCACACCAGAGATGATAAAAGCCCTGAGAGAAACAATTACAAAAATCAGTTTTTCTCGTTTTTCAAGTAACTTAACATAAATTAAAATCGTAAACATATTTAAAGTGCAAACATGTCAATTGCAAACGTATTGTGCAAACATTAACTTGTTCAAAATACTATATAGCTCCCAGTTGCTCATGTAGTGGATAGTTAAGCTCAAATACGGCTCTGATGTGCGGCTGGACCAGAGATCGCTTGTGGTAGCAAAAAACTGCGCATTCTGAATATTTTCTGCAACGCTCACTTTGCATTCAGCGTACATGCGTGGAATGGCGGTGTTCGAAAAATACTTGCGGCTGGAAAACTCGTAGCGCGGATCCAATGTTTTTATCATTTTCTTAAATCCCACTCCTACTGTTCGCACGGGACTCAAATCTTTAACCAAGTGGTACGTCACTGCATCTGTCACGCTGTTCCATCGTCTGCTGTCTCTGTCGTAGGGAGTGAGTTTTGTGAGTGTTTGTTAGCGTTTGCTGCCTGGAAGAAGCACTAGCCGCTGCAGCAGCAGGCTTTTTAGCTTTAGCTGCCAGCTGGCTCTCATTGTATTGTTTTGGATGCCTTCTTTTCAAGTGATTAAACAAGTTTGTGGTGTTGCCATCACTTGCCTTGACGCTCTCCTTGTAAATGACGTTTCGCTGCTCTTTGTCATCTGGTGAAAAACCAAACCAGTTCCATATAATGGACGAGGTGTTCCTCTTCGGAACGAAAACCTCGTTGTCGCTCTCAGCCGCGGCCGAAGCCATGTTTGTTCACACACAGGTGAAAACAAGCGGGGCACTAATATATTACTATGACTCACTCTGATTGGTTAAGGGTCAAACAAAGGCGTGTCATTCGCCTGGGGTAAGTTCCCTTTTCATTCAGAGGCAGAATTTCAACAGCAGAGCTGTGAATCGTGATAAAAAGGTCTCTCAAAAATGACAGACCGTCAGATGTGTAGATCGTAAAACGGTCTAAAATCGTCATATCGCCCAGCCCTATGCACAGCTGCACGCAATATCTGCTTCATAAATCAGAAACTATCTAGAAAGTTTCTCAGCTGCTTTTTAGTCACATCCGCCCTCACCACACCCACTTACTGCCATAAATAGTCAATGCAAAGTGCCTTGTGGATCTCATGCATATATAAGCTGGTTGTTGCAGTGCTCCGCCAATGATGGTGGCGACCGTAGATCAAGGCAGATCAAGGAAGTGCAATTTCATAAGCAGAAATTCAGGTACTTGTGGGTGAGGTGGAGAAATGAAAGGAAGTGCTTTTGCAAAACAAATAAGAGAAAATCCACGGAGTGGCACAGCGTTGCTGAAGCCGTCAATGCTGTGAATTCTTCAGAGAGATCTGTGGCGGATATAAAAAAAATGGTCCCATCGGGATTCGATTCCCAGACTCCCGGGTGAAAGTCACACGCACTACCCAGTCAGCCAAACAAAGATCTCCCTTGTCCATGTAGGCAGGGCACATGATCAATTGGGTCACAGTGACAGGACACACACACTGTCATTGGCACATGACATTCTGTCTCAATCTGTCCCCCTGTCTTCCGTATTCTACGCTTCAGGCTGTGTGTGTGTGTGTGTGTGTGTGTGTGTGTGTGTGTGTGTGTGTGTGTGTGTGTGTGTGTGTGTGTGTGTGTGTGTGTGTGTGCGTGTGTGCGCACACACACATATGTTTGCATGTGTGTGTGTGCGTGCATGTGTTTGTGTGTGCTTGTGTGCGACCACCCCCGTCGGGGACCCAGCAGAGCCCAGGGACCCAGACCCCACCAGGCAGCCACCGTGATCTATCAGGCAGATGCCAAAATCTTAAACCCCCAGACCCGGTTGCCACGAACACTCAGGCAGACCAAGGCACAACCCCTCACACCAGGTGTGGCAGGGGGAGGGGGGACGAAGATCTATGTCATCAAGAGAAGTTCCAGGAGAGGGGAGGAGTCAAAGGCCCCACCTGACATATACAGTCATACACAAACACAGTCACACACTCCCTCCCTCATGCTCACACATGCACATACAACCCAAGACTTACAAAAATGCACGCCGGACACCCACTCATGCTCCCCCATACACACTCTGGTCCCGGTACTGCTGCACACGGGTACAACCATCACCGGTAACCAGAGTTTGACCCTTTCTGGCTGGGAGCTTTCTACAGCTGAATGAAGATAAGACTGAGATCCTCATCTGTTTCCCAGACAAGCTGGTTCCCAAAGTCAGAAACTCTCTTGGTCAGCTTGCATCTCACACCAA